TACATATCTAGACAGTGTAGTACAAACCCAGGCAGTCCCTGAAAAGCCTTGCCTCTGCCTTTCCTCAAGCCGGTTCTTCCACCTGATATACCCTCCCCACCTTGTCTCTGACAGATAAAGTCCTACGTGAGAGAGCAGAGTGCAGTGGAAAGAGATCAGGACTGGGAATCATTCCTGAATTTCTGGTCCAATCGTGTGATTTACTAGGTGTGGATCACGAACAACTTGCTTATTAAGTTCTCTATGCCTCCATTTTCTCATCCCTAAAATGGGAATAATGACCCCTTTGTGAGTCACGGGGCTGTTAAGAGACTCCAAAGACATCGTGTACGTGAACACCTTATGTACATTTTAAAGTGAAATATACGTATAAGGTACCATGACTGCCTACAAGGTCCAGCTAAAGAAACCACTTCTTTCATCAGCTTTCTCTGACCTCTCAAGGCCCTCTCAAAACCACAGACCTTTTAACTTTTAACGTGACACTTACCCTTAATTTTGTGTATTCTATTTGCAAAGTGTAGTCTAGAACACAGATTTTGTAGTCAGACAGACCTGGGTTTAGTCCTGTCTCACAACAGTGGGACACTGGGTAAGTTACTTAACTTCCTTGGGCTCTAGTTTCTCCCATCTATAAATGGGTTTTATAATAGAACTTACTTCACAGAATTAATATGAGACTAAATGAGATAACACATCTAAAATTTTAGTACAGAAAAAGTGTTCAATAAATGGTAAGTGTGTCTACTTCCCACTCGGCCCACTGAGAATCAGGATACAACCTAATTGACCTTGTATACCTCCCTGGCTTTTGTAAGTCTTCCTCAGGTACCAGGAGCACAATACTTATCCAAAACATTAGTAGAGTTATGGAAGAGAACTGATCAGATGAGAAAAATCCACTGAGCCATAGGCAGAGCCCGTGAATGAGGAACCTGGAATTTCTCAAATTTCAGTGTTGCATGAGAATAAAGTCAATAAAAGCCCAAGAGGGAAGGGGATGATCTTTCAGAGATTAGTCAGACCCTAAGAAAGTCAGACCTACTTGTGAATGATTTAGGCCACCAGCTTTTGCAAGTCAATTAACTGCGTTATTTCAACACCAAGGCCACTGTCCTTTTATTGAGGAACTGTTTGCTTTGTTCAAGAGACAAAATTCCACATACCCAGTAATCTATAAAGCATAAGACAAGGAAGGGTCTAATCACACGTTAAACCAAATGCTACAGACGCTCGATAAGTGAGTGGTGGGCAGTTAAGTTGGGTCTTAGCGGTGAGTAGGATTTGCAAAGCTGGAAGACAAAAGAGAATAGGATGCTTCCAGGCACTGTGAGGATGGGACAGGATGTGAGAATGGGTCTGAATGAGACCCGGGGTCTTGGAGTAGCTGAGCACATACCCAAGTGTGAGAGGCAGCCCAAGCTCTCTCATGCCCTGGCAGGGGCCCATTTGCACATGTGGGCCGCAAAGACTTACCATGCTGGAGTGGACCGTTGCCTGCTCAATGTACCTTGCAATGCCTGTGACAAATGCATTCCTGTCCTCGAAGTTCGTGTCAAAGTTAGCCTGCAAAATTAGAAAATAGGAGCTATTCATTGTTGAAAAACAAGCCCAAGGTGACTGGGTTTCTAGAGAGTGAACCGCTGCCAACACTACAAGATCTCTGGAAATCTACTGCCACTCATCACCTCTCATTTTGTCCTACACTGCAAGCCCACTTTTCTTTCTTTCTTTCTTTTTTTTTTTCATTTGCCTTAGGATATGTGAGAGGGACAGAGAGAGAGAGAGAGAGAGAGAGAGAGAGAATGAGAGAGCAACCTTCCCCTTCAGAAGGCATGGCCACTCCACAGACCCTCCTTCTCCATTTTCTTCTTGAGATTCTGGGCATGCATGCACATGTACCAGGCATGTTTTTCAAGTCACTGGGTCTGGGACTCGACAAGCAGTCAGCCATGTGGGATCCATTGCCTTACCCATCATGCCACCAGCTGGCCAGCACACTCTGTCTTAATCACACTGGGCCAGAGCAAGCAGAAGACAGGGCCCACATTTGCTTCCCATCGGTGACCAGGTTCACTAAAATGAGCCTCAGGAGTCAAATCTTAAATGACCCAAGTCCAAACAGCTGACACAAGTTAAGATGTACAAAGATTTGACAAGAATAATTGCTGCAGCATTTTTTTTTTTTTTGTGATTAAAAAGAACTGGAGGGACCAGCAGGTGGCGTGGTGGTTAAGGCACTGGAAGTCCAATATGGCCGACCATAGTTCGAGTCTTGAACCTGGCAGCTTGCTCTCACTCTCTCTCTTTGGCAAAAACCCATGTGAAAAAATAATAATAAATAAGTGAATAAAATAATTAAAAAAAAAAAAGAACTGGAAACAACACAAATGTCCATCAACAGCAAAAGGCTAAATGAGTAGTAGTATATCCATTAATGGACTCACAAGCACCAAGAGGTGATTAAACATAATGTGACAGGGCCAGCTCCAGAGCCTGGTGATTAAGGCAACCAGATCCCACATGGCCAACTATGTGGTTAAAATCCGATCCCTGGTTTGAAAACCATGCTGGGCACACGTGCATGTGTACCTCAAATCCCAACAGGTTGGAGAAATGGAGAAGGGATTGCCATGTGACCATGTTCCATGGGGGGGTGTACTTTCTCCCTCTCCCTGTTCTCTTTCAGTCTCTCTCTCTCTCTGGCAAAACTAAAAACAAACAAAAACATACTGTGATAATATTGTAGTACTATTATGGAAAAAATCCTAAATAAATTTTCAGAGAAAAAGGCAACTTGGAGACCAGCAGGTGGTATGGAGGCTAAGATGGCTGGATCCCAAATGGCTGACTGAGTGGTTCAAATCCTGAACCCAGCAGTTTAAAAGCCACACCAGGCATGTGTGCCCCAAATCCCAAGAAAAATGAAGGAGAAGGAATTGTGGTGGTCAACCCCCCTGCGGGGTGATTCTTCACTTTCTCTATCTATCTTCTCTCTCCATCTCTCTGGTGAGTGCATGTACCCTATAGCAAACAAACAAAAAAAACCAGAGCTACCTTGGGCTGGTCCTATGACCTAGTGGTTAAGGAAGATCCTACATAGTTTTTCACGCAGTTAGAATCCCAGATCCAACATCTTTAAAGATACACCAGACTTGTGTGCGTGTTTGTGTGTCCAAAATCCTGATGGGATGGAGAAATGAAGGAGAAAGGATTGTGGCATGACTGCATCCCATTTGGGGGGAGGGGTGCTTTCTCCTTTCCTTTTCTCCTCTGTGTGTCTATTTCTCTCCGATGAGTACATGAGACCTCTGGCCAAAAAAGAAAAAAAAAAGGCAAACTCATGGAGCAATGTATGTATGATTCCTTTTTGGTAAAATGTATTTTTTATAGGGACCAGCAATTGACGGAATGGCTATGTCGCTGGACTCCCATGTAGCCGACTGTGGTTTAAGTCCCGAACCCGGTGGCTTAAATTCACACTGGGCATGTGTGCGTGCATACCCAGGATCCCAAGAGGAGAATGGAGGAGAAGGGATTGTGGCGTGGCAATCCCCCCTGGGGGGTGATTTCTTGCTTTCTGTCTCTGTCTATCTTTCTGGCGAGTGCATGCACCCCATAGCAAAAACCTCTCCAAAAAAACCAAAATTATATATATATATACCTTTATAATATACATATATACACACACATATTTGATTAAAAGATACACATACTTGATTAAAAAGTATATATGATATATGCATATTATAGGGAAATTTGCTATACTTTTGTGTTGCTTGTAATAGAAAAGATATTTACATAATTAAGGGGACCAGCAGGTGGCGCGGTGGTTAAGGCACTGGACACTCCTACATGACAAACCACAGATTCCCGGGCCAGGTGGCTTGGTTTCCCATGGGCCTTGTGGCTTGGTTTCCCACTTTCTCTCTCTCTGTCTCTGGTTAAATTAAAATAAATAAATGAAAACATAAAATTAAATAATTATTTTTAAAAATTAATCAAGGTTAGAAAATGTGAATAAACCAAGTTTATGAGTTGAAACTTCAAGAACGTCCGTAATGAATTTAACCACTGAATGGAATTAAAAATATATTAGGTACTTATATTTCGTCTCATTTAGTAGTCCAGGAACTATCAAAAGGTCAAATACAGCAAAAAAAAAATTCCAATTAACAAGTTCTTTCTGAACACAGCATGTGGCCTGGCACACCCAGGCACAGGCTGATCCAGCTACACAGACACCCTCCCTACCATGCCCTGATGGGATCTCGACTTTGTACAACCCACTGGTGGTTTATCAAAGCTCTGCTCTCTTAGGCCAAAGTAAACAACCGTGCCTGGCTTCCCTGAGCCATTAGCTGTGTGGGGAGCTGTAGGGCTCTTCTCACATCCATGAAGGAAAAGTAATTACCCAGGCGAGCTCTAGGGGCTTCTAAATTGCAATATTTAATTCATGAGGTCAGAGCTGCCGAAACCTAGGTTAGTGCAGTCGCTAGAAGAGACTGGAAGGTATCTGGGGTCAGAGTAGATCAAGGAGTCTTCCCTGGGGGAGGGAACTAGTCCTGGATTACATTTTCTAGCTAATCTATTCCTTACACTAGGCTCCAGGAGTGTGCAAGGGACTCCATCAGCTCACGACCTTTCACCTTCTAGATGCAGTGCTCTTCACCTCTCTGCCTTCAGGGCAGCCCCCCCAAAGGGATCCCCCAGCTCCTGCTTCTCTGGTGCTCTTTGCCATTCCCATTACCTGGTACATGATGGATGAAGGCGGAGGCTCGATGCATGGCTGCTGGTCCGGGAGGGGCAGCTCTTCGAGCAGGTCCACGTTGGACAGGGCATCTTCCAGGGTGACGTGGGTGGTCATGGCTGCGGTTTCTGTATTCTGCACCAAGGGAAAGGAAGAGAGGACAACAGAGAATTTCATGAACTTCCAAACATTTCTCTCAACTTCACTCCATTTAGGATACTTCTGGAGAATACAGGGGGTTAAGATGCAATGAGGCCACTTCCACAAGGTGCCCTCAAGCTGCGCGTTTAATGTTTGAGGATCTCTTTACAATTCACAAAGTACTTCTTTTTTATCTTTTCTGAGTCTCACCTCAAGCCTCCATGTTCCACACGAAAGGCAGTACTCTATTCACACAAATGATGAGGACACAGGGCTCAGAGAAGTCATGTGGTGCCCACACAGTCATGCGACCAAGGGCAAAGGACTTCAAATAATGCTGGATGCTAGGACACCAGTCATACTCTCCCTTTTGTTCATCATAAGAATATTTATCTTTTTTTTTTTTTTTTTTTAGAGTGAAAGAGAAATTTTTGCTATAGGGTGCGTGCTCTCACCAGAGAGACAGAGTGACAGAAAGCGAGAAATCACACCCCCCAGGAGGGATGACTACACTGCAATCCCTTCTCCTTCAGTCTCCTCTCAGGATTTTTGGCATGCACACACATGCGCTTAACATGAGTTTTAAACCACCAGACCCAGGACTCAAACCATGGTTGACTATGTGGAAGTCCAGCGATGTAACCATTATGCCATCTATTGGTCCCATTAATTCCTTTCTTAAATGACAGCCCAGCACTCATATCCATGATGGCAGGATAATCAACAGGAAACCAGAGCCTCGGTTTGATAGGTTAACTAAGTTGGGACTAAACGGATTCAACTCAAGTCACCATCTTCCTTGGCCCAAGTATGTTTTGTGAGCCACACCAAGTAAATCAGCCCTACATGCACATTTTGATGTCCTGGACCCTGAAGAGTGCAGCTGCTTCAATGATAACTTTGCCAGGCAATGCAGCTGAGGAGATCTGAATGGGCACTTACCCAGCTCAAGCTAACTACGTTTTTAAGAACTCAGCACCTAGGAAACAGAATACTCATTTTTTTCCCCCCAAACATACATGAAGTTCTGATGAGAAACTGATCATGGTCCAGTTGTAGTGGTGCATGTTGTAGCCACAACTGCATGAGGCTGTGGCCACATGGGAGGCCCGTGTTTGGATCCCAGACAAACCTGAACAGGCAGGGATAGTGGTGTGAGCCTGTAATCCCAGCTCACTGGGAGGCTGGGGCAGAGGAGCACAATGGCAAGACCCTGTAGAAAATACCGCCCTCTCTCTCCTGCCGCCTCCTGTGCACGTGTGCACGCTCTCTTCCTTGTTAAATAACAAACAATCGGCCAGCTCTCAGGCACAGCAATAATGTGCTGCTTAAGAAAAGCCGGATCTCATGGCAACTGGGGTTCTTTGAAGTCCCAGCTCGGTCAGCCTGAAAACACACTGGGCCCAGATACAAGAGGCCAAGATCCAATGAGCTGGGGGACGGGGGAAGGAGATTGTAGCCTGACTAGATCCTGTGGAAGGTGCTCATTTCTCTCTTGTGCGCTCTCTCTCTCTCACTCCCATGTGTATGGGAATATGTTTTATCATGAATAAAGGAAAAACAAACACTGACATGATTGAGGCTATAAATCAGGTTCCTCTAAGTATCCAACAACAACAAAAACCGGTATTTTAGAAGTCCCAGTAACGGATTGTATGCAATGAAACTAGGAATTTGTAATGCCAATTACAGGGAAAAAAATCCCATGCCTTTAAAAATGTATAAAACACACTTCAAGGTTACTCATAGCTAAAGAGGAATTCAAGTAGAAATGATAAAATATTTAGAACTGAAAGAGAGACAGCACTAATAAGTGTCTTAAATGCATTTGGTAAAAAACAAGAAGTGAAACTAAATGAACCTAATGTTCCACTCAAAAAATTACGGAGAAAATCACAATCAACCCAAAGAAATGAGAACAGAGGGACTGAAAATGACAAAAACAAGAATAAATGAAGCAAAACTAAAACCAAACGGAAGTAAACAAAAAACTAAAAGCCAAGTTTTATGAAAAGATTACTACTAATAAAGCTAAGCCTTCACAATATGAACAAGGACACAAGGAAAAGGCCCAGAATGTCAGTTGGAGAACTCCTCCCTTCCTACACCCAATCCCAGGAAGGTGTGAGATGGACTGAGGGCTGGCATTTCTCCTCTGACTGGCAGTGAGCTTGTCTAGCTTGTTAGGAAACGTGTCAGACATCAGGGGGAAAAGGCCCATCAGTATGAGAAATTGGTCCAGGAGCTGTGCAGGGTTAAAGAGCTCAGCAAATACCCAAAATTATGCTGCCCCTAACTAATATCTCCTTTAGGCCCAAGGTGGCAGGTCAGTCTGGGGCCAAGCCTTCAACCCTGCTGAGCTGCTAACTATAGTTCACACTTGACTGAGTTTTCAGACACACCTTCCTGTCAGGCACCATGGCAACGGGAAAGGCTGCATCCAATGAGAGCAGGTCGCAGTCAGAAGTAACTTGTCTCTCTGCTCTCTGATGAGGCCTGATGTCCCAGGGTGGTTTCGAGCTCTCTCCACACCTAAACTTCTTCCTCTTCTCCCCAGAATTATAAGTCTGGCATTCGGTCCCACAGTAAAGTCACTTGACAATTTATAAAAAGACTGTCTTCTGTTTTAGATTACCATTAAGTCCTTTTCATGGAAGAGAGAATGATTTTTACTGGGCATGATTACCTACCACCTCTGAAGTTCTAATAATACTCTACATCCATTCCAAAAATAGTGATAATGACAGTAAAATAACATGTCGTTAGCCCCTACTTTGTGTCATATACTATACCAAACGCTTGACTGTTTTAATCTTGAATCAACCACGTAGAGGTCTTATTCTTATTTTACAGTTGAGCAAAGAGAAGATCAGAACTTAAATAATTTTGCAAGGTCAAGTGCTGACTAGTTTGTCTAGCTCCATAAATGGAGGTTTTCTTCATTACCTTATGCAAGTTGAGGATCCCTTCCCAAAATGCTTGGAACTAGAAGTATTCAGATTTTGGACTTTGGAATATGTATAGACACATGAAAAGATTTTGGGGCTGAGCCCCCAGTGTAACATGAAATTCATTCATCTTTCATATGCACCTTACATATATAGTCTAATTGTAATTATACACAACATTTTTGTAGTGCTGAGTTTTCACCGTATCCTGTCACATGATATCAGGTGTGGAATTTTCCACTTTGGCATTGTGTTGGCACTCAGAAAGTTTCCGATTTTACAGTATTTCAGATTGGGTCGCTTAAGCCATAGTTCCTCCCACGTGATCAGTCTCAGACTGTTAGGCTGCTTAATGAACAGAGGTTTATTTCATATCAGCCTCTATGCTGGGTGCTTCCAAATACTCTGCATTAATGATTCTTGGTTCTGCTTGTGTCAAAAAATCACATGCACAGCTTCTTAATAATAAAATGACTTGGTTACATCCACAGAATATGCCTTGGCTTCATCTCTAGGACCAGGAAAATTGCATTTTAAAAAGTTTGTTACTTCCTTAGCAATAAGAGAAGTCCAGACTAAATTTACATGGCGATATCATTTCTCACTTATTAGACTAACAAAATCCTAACAATGGACCACACGTGCTATTGGCAAGGCTGGGGAGAAACGGGCCCTCTCAAATATTGCTGGTAGGAAGACAGAGGGCACGACCTCAGTGGAAGGGAATCTGGCAGTGTCTTATGAACTTTTCACAAGCATTGTTACCCTCTGATAAACAGTCCTACTTCTAGGAGCCTATCCCAAAGACACATGGACAAAAATGCAAAAAGACATAAGCACAGGCCATTCCCAGCAGCACTGCCTCTAAGAGTGAAACAGTGGAGATTGCAGATATTTATCCCAAAAGGATGGTCTGAGTAAGTGGGTGCCACTGTATAGTGAAGTAGTGGGCAGCAGTAAAACTGAGGGGCATCTCTCCCCATGCAACTGTGGGGTGATCTCCAGGACATGGTATTGACAGGGTGCTCTCTTTTACCTAGAGAGGAGGGTGCATCTTCTACTGAAAAAAACAAACTGGTTACCCATGGGGAAGGGAGAGGAAAGGAGGGAATACAGTTAGGAGGCAAGCATAGAAACGAAAATTTTTTGAATATACATTGTTCTGTAGATTTTACTTTGAAAGCATGAAAATATTTTTAATTTTAATTTGCTAGAGGGCACATGTGTTCATCAGTGAGAGAAAGGGGAGGGGAATGAGAAATCACTCCCCAGAAAGGGAAATGGCCACACCACAATTCCTTCTCCTCGACTGCACACATGCCTGGTATGTTTTTATTTATTTATTTTATTAAAAATTCTTTTTAAAAAGCTTTTAAATTTAGCTTTATTTATTTATTTTAATTGGACCACAGAGAGACAGAGAAAGTGAGAAAAATAAGCTGCCAGGTTTGGGACTTGAACCGTGGTCGGCCATCTGGGACTCCAGCACTCTTAACCACCATGCCACCTGCCGCCCCCCAGGCTTGTATTTCAAGTTACCAGGTTCAGGACTCAAGCCACACAGTTGGCCATGTGGAATCTAGCTACCTTCACCACACCACTGGTTGGCCTGAAAACAGTTTTTATAATTAAAAATTTAAATTTAAATTTAAAAGGCAACCCTAAACATAAAGGAAAACAGGACAAATGACTATATTCATGGGTTAGTTACTGGTTTAACCACCTAGAAAGGTACTATTCCAAGTGATTTCAAAATTCGGTATTTTAATGGTAGATCTCTGATAGAATGCACCCTAAAAAGACAGAAAGACATCTTAAATTGTTTTCAGTACTACCTTGGTGCACCACTGTAAGAATGTTTGGATTCATAATGGGAAATGAGTAATGATGCAAAGTTCTAATTCTATCATTTTTGGTGTTGCTGAAAACTGGCATTCTTGACACGGGAGAAAGTAGATACAGATGGAAGATCAAGGAAACTAAGTAAAAACTTAATATTCCCGGTCAGCCATGGAGGTAGAATGGTCACGCAAGGCTTCACGACGC